AAAGTTGATTCTGTTGAAGACAGGAATTCCTCTAAGGATTCAAAGAAACTCAATACAGAGGAAGAAAAGAAAAGCTATGGTCCTTGGGTGCTGGTGAACAATAGGAGAAGAAAGTATAATGCAGTTTATAACAAGGATATGGACATGAAAAATGTTGAGAAGAAGAATCAGAATAATAATGTTCGGAACATTAAGTCGAAGGATGCAAATTTGGAAAGATTAAAGAATTCAAGCAACCTCCGGAACGAAAATACTCCAGCAACTCAACCTTATGTAAATCAATTATTTGAAGAAGGCGAAATTATTGAGGGAACTGTGGATGTATCTGAAGGGAAAAAAATTGATCTTGAAAATCAAGAGTAAGAAAGTTTGGAAGGTAGCATAAAAGAAGTTTCATAAGGGAAGACTGAAAACAGGGCTGAGCTTGAGGTGAAGGTTTCAAAAAACCCATTTGAAATTATGGGAGAAGTTGATCAAGAAAAAAAAAGTAATATCAATGACAGAAAAGGTAGAAACACATGCTGTAAACAATAAGGAAGCCTTGGAAACAAAACAACATAATGTCAAAGAGCAGGTGGAAAACAGTTTGGTGACAATTAAGATGTCTAGTGGCAAAACAAAACTTGCTAAAGAAATGAAAATGCTTGGACCCATCAAAGGGAAACATAGAACAAGAAAAGGTGAGGGAGGAGATGTAAAGGCAGGGAGCTTAAACCCAAAACCTATTTAAATGTCTTCAATGTTAGTATGGCATTGTAGGGGAGGCAAAAAGAAGGCTGCCTCCCACTACTTAAGAAACATGATTGTTGAAAATGATCTTTTTTTCATTGGTTTGTTAGAAACAAAAAAGGAAAATTTGGGCTGTAATGATGTTAGAAGGATGGTGGGGAGTGAATGGGATTTCCACCATGTTGCGGCGTCTGGAAAGTCTAGAGGCATCCTTATTCTATGGAAACATAGAATTGCATCTTTCAAGGTAACTGTAACTTCCAAACAGTGTATTATGGATGAACTTATTACTCCCAAAGGCAAGATAGTTAAAGTGTGCATTATTTATGGTAACAAAAACTTGTATGAAAGAAGGAAACTTTGGGAAATGATTGAAGATCATTTGAATTGTGAAGATCCTTGTTTAGTGGAGGTGATTTCAATTGCCTTGTTAACAGCAGTGAGAAAATTGGGGGAAAAAGTTTTGTATTCTCCTAAGGCCCAC